GAGGCCAGGGCGGCCTGAAGAAGTAGGCTGGAAGTCAGAGAGACAGAGAAAAAGAGACACTCCTCATGGATACCCAGTTGGGCTGTCGGGGTCTGATTCCAGACACACGGGCCTTTGAGAAGCCGCTGAAGCGCAGCCTCAGCCTAGACTCTCGCAGTTGCCCACAGCTTTCCTCAGTCCCTCACATCCGAGGAGATACCTCTGAAGGGGAATCCTGGCCTCCACTCAGCTGACTTTCCCAGCTCCCAAGGGAGATGGGGGATCCACTGAGGGAGACACAGGGGAACCTGTTGCTTGAGACTTTGAGATCAGCAGCCAGGCTAGTCCCATTTAAGTGGCTGACAAGCACCCGGTTTTGTGTGCCACAGACGGCTTCCTTCTATAAGGACAGTGAAAGAAAAGGCAGGCTTGGATGCCGATACTCACCTCCGAAGTTATCCCGGACGAGCCCCCAAAGATGATGCCGGGGTTCTTGTTTGCGGAGTCAAAGAATGAGCTTCACAAACAGTCAAGGTAGGAGAGCAAGGTGCAGGCTTTTATTTAAAAATAAAGTGAAAGGACAGAGCTCCTGGTTCACACCAGGAGGGGACAAGAGAGTCCTGAAAGCCAGTTTTTAAATAAATTGTATGTGGTAAAAAGAAAAGAGGATTTTTGATGGCGATACAACTGATTTCACTATGTTTTGCTATAAGGAAGAGAAGCAGGGATACATAATGATTTCTCCTCCTATGGAAACATCAAAAGGGTTACTGGTGAAATGGTGTGGAATGAAGTAACTAAAGCACAACTTCTATTTGCCAGTGCACAAACTAATCCAAAGCCAAATTGTGAATACTGGAAAAATTTTACCTTTTAGCCTCTAATTTGAGTAAATACAGTCACTGCTCTAGGGTTATATGACCTCATTCTGTTGGTGAAATGTTAAAGAAAGACTCGTACATTTGGGAGAAAAGACGTTCCTCGTTGAAAGAGCTAGGTACACGAAAAAGCCTCTGTGAGCCTTGCTTCCTCCTTTCAGGCACTATGTGAGGACATGACTCTCAGATCTGCTGCGGTCATGACCGAAAAGCCAAGTGGACTATAGAGTTCCACCCCAGTGTCTGACAACTTTGAGCCTAAGAACTATCTTAAAATAATTTACCACCATGTTTCTTGTAATGGAAGGGGAAAATAAAGCTCTTATTTGGGCAACTTGTTATTGGATATATATATATATTTTTTTGCAGCTAAAAGCATTTGTAACTTTTTATACATCTCCTATATTTACTCTTTAATTTTTTCCATCCTTCCTCCAATATTTTCCATCTTTATAAAATCAAAATCAAAATTCTGCTTTCTGGAAGATTTCCTTAACTTTACCTTACCAACATTTATTTGCTTATATGCACACTCACACACACACACAAATTTTTTGCTATACTATTTTAATTTCCAAAAGCTCTGTTTTGTTCTGTATTACTATTACTCTATTACTTTCACTTCTTTATACAGCCATAGAAAAAGAACAGAACACTGTATCTTCTCTTATCTCTGATGTTATAGTTATTTTCAAGTTTTCTTCTGTTCTCTGCACTGATTCTGAGATCCTTTTGACCATTTTTGCCATTTTCTTTTCTAAGCATTCTCCAAATATTTATTCTTAACTGTCCAGTCCTACTTAAGAATGAAGAACTCTTAATATGTCAACAATACTCAAAACAATCTACAGACTCATTGCAAACCCTATAAAAATTCCAATGTGTTTGCAGAAATAGAAAAATCCATCCTCAAATTCCTATGGAATTTCAAAGGATCCTGAATAGCCAAAACAATCTTGAAAAAGAACAATGTTGGAGGTCTCATACTTCCTGATTTTTCTAAACTTATTACAAAGCTACAGAAATCAAATCATTGTTCTGTAAACTGGCATAAAGTTTAAGACACAGACCAATGAAATAGAGTAGAGGGTTCAGAAACAAGTGTTTGTACATATGGTCAAATGATTTTTGACAAGGGTATTCGTCAAAATTTCCATTCAATGGGAATGGACATTCTTTTCAACAAATGGTGCTGTGAAAACTAAATATACACATGCAAAAAAAAGAAGTTGGACCCTTACCTTATACCATATACAAAAATTAACTCAAAATAGATCAAAGACCTAAATATAAGAGGTAAAACTATAGGAATCTTAGAAGAAAATATGGGAGAAAAGCTTATAACACTGGATTTGACAATAATTTCTTGGATATGAAAACAAAAGGTACAGGCAACAAAAGGAAAAATAGTTGTTAGAGCTCATCAAAATAAAAAGCTTTTGTGCATCAAAGGACACTATCAACAGAATGAAAAGGGAAGCCCCAGAGAGAAAGAAATATTTGTAACTCATTTATCTGGTTAGAGTTGATATTCAGAATATATAAAGAACTCCTATAACTCAACAACAAGAAAACAACCCAATTAAAAAATGAGCAAAGGACTTGAATAGACATTTCTCCACAGAAGAAAGAGAAATGGTTAATAAGCACTTGAGAGGATGTTCAACATCATTGCTTATCAGGGAAATGCAAATCAAAACCACAATGAGATAACCACTTCATATTCATCAGGATGGCCATTTTAAAAAATAAAATGAAAAAACATAGAAAGTAAGCCTTGGCCAGGATGTTGAGTAATTAGAACTCATGTATTGCTTTTGGGGATGTAAAAAGGAGCTACTATGGGAAACAGTATGGTAATTCCTTACAAAATAAAATATACAATTACCATGATTCAGTAATCCACTTCTGGGCAAATATCCAAAAGAAGTAAAATCAGCATTATTCACAAAAATTTAAAGGTGGAAACAACTTATCATTGATGGTATCCATCAACAGACGAATGGAAAAACAAAATGTGGTATAGACATACAATGGAATATTATTCAAGAAGGAAATTTTGACACATGTTTTAGCATGGATGAACCCTGAAGACATTATGCTAAGTGAAATAAGCCAGTCACAAGAGGACAAATATTGTATTAATTCCACTTACATGAGGTTCCTAGAGTAGTCAAATTTATAGAGACAGAAAAGAGAATGGTAGATCTCAGTGGGTAATCAGCACACCTGTTTTTTCACTGAAGGGGCTTCAAGTATCAGTACCCACAGGTCTTTTCCCTGGGCCTGGTCAACATTCCCCAGGAAGGAAGACTGCTATCTCCAGCCAGGCTCCTCTTCACAGTATATTAGACAGTGATAAATTCAAGGTTTTAACTCATTTATATGTTTATTGTCTATAACCCCTCCCTGTGATAAAAATACAAGCTTGCTTGAAGGCAAATATTTTTGTCTTATTTTTCTTTCTTTCTATATCCCCAGAACCTAGAAAAGCACAAATGTTTGCAGGCACTCAATAAATATCTGTTTAATGAATGAATCAAAAATTTATGGAGCACTAAATGTGTCAGAAACTATGCTATTTTATAATTATAAACTCAAATTAATCCTTAAATTATCACATGTGATATTATTCCCATGTTACTAATGAGGTGAGTATAGGGAGGTAACCTGTCTGCAGAAACCAATCAACAGTATTTGTGTAACTCCACCTTAAAGACTATACTATTATACTGCTTTCTGCAGACAAATTAGGTAGTGTTAGCCCTCAAGAATAAGAATCTACGTGCTAACAATATAATCTATGAGATATGGTCTGCTATGAACTGCCCTACTTAGATGTAATATGAATACTAGAAAGCCTGAAGAGTGTGTGGGGTGGAAGAGAGCAGTGAATCCCTGCTATAGTGAGGCGTGGTTACTGATGCAAATGTATTACATACATCTGAGGGTAGGGAAAAGTCACCTAAGACACAGAAGAGGTTGGCAGAAAAACTGGTTAAACTAATTCTGATTAACAAAGAAGTACTATATTCTCACCAGGACTATTTGCCTTGATATGTCTCCTTTGTTTGTCCTCTGCAGACACACAAGTAAAATAGACAGTATGAGATATTAGGAAGTACACTAGTTAGTATACAGAGAAATGAATTCTAGTCCTAGCACTGATTACTAACTGGCAGTGTGCTCTGGGATAAGCCATATGAAGAGAACAGTTTATTAGTGGTTATTTCCAAGCTTCCAAGTTTATTTTAGAAAATAAAGCAAACTTCCTTTCTTGTGAAATACTAAAGATTTAACTTGCCCTTTAAGAAACAATTAGATTACTAAATTAGAAGTTTAGTTTAGGAATCTATCAATCCATGCCTAAAAATCTCTGGCATTTGAAGGCAAATGGTAACCTGATCATTTGTAATTTAGGGTTATCTTCCTATATGACTAGCGATTACAGCTGGAGCCAGCTTTTACAGACAGGCAGTACAGTGTACTGGTAAGCAGTGTGGGCTGTGAGGCCTGATTGCCTAGATTCCACAAAAGCTTGCTCTCCATGCAATCTGAGTGACTTATGTAAGGAAACTAATGCCAAGAAAGCTTATCTGTGATTATAAAAGTAACGATTACCTAAGAGGATTACAAACATGACTATATAAATTCACAGTGATGCTCAAGGATTGATAAAAAAAGCATAGTGGTGCCATTAAACAGTACAGCCAAGCAATTTTGAACTATTTAAATATTGTAAATCTTACCTGTAAGGAAGCAAAAACAAATTCTGGGGGATTTATTCTGGAAAAATGATATTTTACAAAACTCTCTTCATTTTCTAAAATGAAAACTAGTTGGCAGACCACCAAAACAGAATGATTTCTCTCTCTCTTTAAAGTAAGTTTTACCAGAGTAATGTTTTGACGTTTATATACATCTTCTCCTTCAGTTTTGACATTTCCCAAATTACAAAATACTAAAATTTATTATAACAAGTGGAACAAGATTAAAAAGTATAATAAAGACAAAGCTAATACTCTCTTCCCATATCTATTTCTAATCCCACCCCCTAAAATAACCAATATCAGTACAAATGCTTTTTATAAGCTCATTTTTTTCTTTTCAAAATTACTACACATATGATGCTCAAAAGCTTACCTCCAGATATATTGATGGTGGATTATGCTCCCCACCAAATTTATCCAGTAGGGCTTCTATATGTTCCTGTGTCAACTTTATCATTTGTTTGATATTCCATACCTACAAAATATTTTAAAAGAGTTTAAATAAAAATCATTTAGGATATGAAGAAATATTACTTCTATTTAAATATTGCAGTAACTACCAGTATTCCTTGAAATTTAGAACTTAGAGAACCTAGAGATCATTAAGTATAGTGTTTTTCCCTTTTATTATTAAACATCTTTAAATTCCTTTCTACGCTAGTAATACAATATATTCTCAACTAAAAAAATTTCAAATAATATATGAGTATTCACAATAAGCAATGAAAGTTTTGTTTCACCTTCCCTACATTCCTGAACTCCCCACCATAAAGATAAGTGCTGTTTACAGTTTGGTATGCATCCTTCCACATCCCCTTTTCACTCAAGTAAAAAAAAATACATACATACACAAAATATACAAAAACATTTATTATATAAAAAATGCTTTTTAACACTTTTTTTCACTGAACATGCCTTAAAATACTTTCCATGTCAACACATACATATTTTACTCATTTGAAATGGTAGTATAAGCATCCATTAAATGACTGTGTTAAATACAGATATATTCACTTCATGACATTGTTTTGATGCTGCTTATTTCAATGGTGTTTATATTTTAATGGTAACCTAGCATTAGTTGGACATGGCTAATTTTAGGAGAGTATTACCAGATCCTCAATGTCTATCTGTATTCTTCCTAACTGATCTGACTGAGAATTAGTATTCCCTTTTTCCTTTCCTTTTAAAATCACACTTGCAATTTTTCACTTTGTATAAAACAAAGGCAAAGTTCTCATTCATTTCAAATGCTAAGGTACACTGTATAAACTCCAAAGTGCCTAACAAACAGAAGAGGGAAAATTCCTTGAGAGAAAAGAAGGGAAAAGTTAACAGCAAGGCCTTATTTTATCAGTGAAACAGATTCTTCTCAAGGCTGGAAGCCTTACCCATTTACTAAGCTAACAAGTCAAGAATTCAGAAATCTGGTGATATAATACATGGACATATTACATGTTTTTTTTCTTGATGAAGAATGAATCCAATTTATCTGAGTGATTTGAGAACCTGCTTTACAAATTACACTATATGGTAGACATGCTCCATAAACTGATCAAAACTTGGCATTTTAAGGTGTAACCAAAAAATGTACTTAATAAAAATACAAATTAGAAATTACAGCTTTTTGAACTACTATAATTTATAATGTTATAAAGAAAAAATGAGAACAAATTTTTAGTTTTTTAAATGAATAAGTGAACAAACAGATTCAGGATCCCTGGTTTATTTAATAATATCCTTACTAGAGGACATTTAGATTATTCCACTTTTTTCAATTTCAGACAATGCTTCAATGAACAGTTCTGAACTTTCTGGGCAAAGATGGCAAGTTTTCCTTTTAGATACTGAAGCACAGAATTCATGGACTGAAGGATATGTGCATTTAAAATCTCCATATATATGCCAAATGGTCTTCCAAAAGAAAAAAAGTGCAAGTCATACTCCTATTCTCAGGATGTGAATCCACCCTTTTCCCCCACAATCCTACTAAAACAGAATATTATCAAACATCTAAACTCTTGCTGATTCTAAGCAGAAAAGATGATCTTGCTGTTTTAATTTGTATTTCCCCAAAAGCTCAGCATTCTTCAATTCACTGGCCATTTAAGATTGTTTTTGGAAAATTCCTTATCCATATTCTTTTTTCTTGCTGATTTATAGATACCATTTATTCTAGATATTCTGGATATTAATCCTTATTCTCCTACAAATATTGCAGTCTTTCCTAATTGCATCATATGAAGTTCTGCTATGCAAAGTGTGGTTCATGGACCAGCAACAGCATAATCTTCTGGAAGTTTGTTAGAGTAGCAGAATCTCATGTTCCACTTCAGACTTACTGAACTTTTAACAAAATGACTCATATTAAAGTTTGAGAGGCAATGACAGAGTTTCAAATTTTTTCCACAGTCAGATACTGAAATATTTTCCTTTATAATTTCACGGCTAAGTTTTCATATTTGTTCCAGTATTAGATGCCTCTTTTCTCTAGCTACACATACTCCCCAAGTGATCTTATCCAATTTCCCATGGCTTTATATGTCAAATATGGATTGATTAAACCCAAATTTTTAAAGGTGGCTCTGTCCTCTCAACTCTAGATTCTTTTTGTCCACCTGCTTACCAAATATCTCTAAGATAGCTAAAAGGCATCTCAAACTTACCATGTTAAAAGACTAACTTCTGATCTGCCTCCCAACTCTCCAAAAGCTTGTTTTTCCTATAATCTCTTCATCTCAGAAAATGACACTTTCTCTATGATGAATTCATTGACCACCCAGGCAGAAATGCTTTATAGAATTTGATATAGAATTATGTTTCTCACGTCTATTAGCTACTTTGAGATCAGAAACATGTTTTATTCATCTTTTGTCCCCTCATCACTTATCTTGGCATCTTAGTCATAACAGGCATTCAGTTAATGCTGGAGCTAAGAGTTAAGCTATATTCAGAATAGAGTAAGAGAGAAAATTATCCTACTTCAGTGATTCTTTCCAGTCCAGTAAATTAAGGACCTATTACACACAGCCTTTTTTTTTGTTTTTGTTTTAAAGCTCCACAGATAAAACTCTTGGGTAGTTAAGGTAAAGAACCATGCCTCCCATCCCTCCACAAGGAATAGGAGAGAGGTGGAGGTAAAAGAAAAAAACAAACAGGAGGAATGAGCATGGGGGAAATCAGAAGACTGAGGTAATTAGACCAGGTTAGAATGAAATTTTTTTTTTTGCTGGGGAGTAGAAAATGATTAAATTTGGTTAGGTAGGGAAGGAACAGACAAGAATGTCTGGAAGTCAGGTTTCATATCTCCCTAAACAAAAGTAACTTTATACTCAAAGAAAGAAGAAAACTCACTATGAGCCCTGGTTGCAACAGCACCCAAGATGGCTACATCCTAAAGCCTATAACACATAAAAGTTACCTTAAATGTCAAAAAGAATTTTGCATATGTAGTTAAGTATTTTGAGTTCAGGACATTATCCTGGATTACCTGTGGGTCCTTAATGTAATCACAATTGTCTAAAATGGAATCGGAGTTTTTACTGCAGAAAATTAGGCAATTATGAAGACCTACCAGAGAGATTTGAAGATACAACATTACTGGCCTTCAAGTTGGAAGGGACCATGAGTCAACAAATGTAAGGAATGCAGCTCTCGAATATGGAAAAGGTAAGGAAATGTGCTCTAGAGAGAGCACAACCTTTCTGACACCTTGGGTTTGGCCTAGTGAAACCCATTTCAGTCTTCTGACCTTCAGGTGTTGTACACCCTAATATAAATGGGGAATCTAGAAACTAATAAACACAAAGGTAAATCTAGATAAGCATAAACTATATAAAATAACACTAAAAACAGTGGCTATAACTAATGAGGGAAAATGGCCAGCATGAAAACATTCTAAGACCTATCTATTATTCAAAAGGGATCCTGGAACATCTTGTTTTGCTAGACAGATATCAAATCAACAAAGGAGGCAGCTTGAAGGGACTCCTACTGGCCAAATTTAGGAAATGTTTTAGCAAAATGAGAAAACACTGCAACTGTAACAAACTGCATGTATTCACATGCGCATGTACGCGCGCACACACACACACACATTCAGTAGTTTTTAATAAAAAAACGTTTGGTAGGAAACATTTGCCACCACATAGATGACTGTTACATCTTAGAAAATTAAACAGCAAGCAGTGGAAAAGAATTATGCAGTTATTCTGTCTTTTTAGGAACAATTATAGTTACTCCCATTTGATGTGGGAAGCTTTACAAAAAAGAATACAAAAGAATGTTAGCTAATATAAAATAATTGATTCTGGAAAGATCAAAGCATGTTAAAACCATTAGGTGAAAAGAAGATGAAGAACACAATACTTACATAGTATTGAAGTATTTCCCAAAGATGAAAGATAAAGGAGACATATATATTTACAAGGAGAGATGTGACTTAGAATCATTAATAGTGGGAAAACCTTAATGTGATGTAGTATAAATAACACATTATCTATCACCCATGAAGTATACTTGCAAAACATTTAAGTAAAATCTAATCAATCAATATATTTAGCCTCTAGTTTAGAAGAAATATAGGGGATTAAAAAAATATGCTAAAAACACCACAAGGAAATAAACAAATATGGAATGTGGGACATTCTGTAAGACATTTACCTTCTCTGTGAAAGTCAAACCCATGACAATTACACAAATCCAAAATGTGGGACACTCCAGGGCAACTATCCTGGTCTCACTAATAAATCATTTCATGGGAAACAAAATGGTGGGTGATCAGCTCAATACTAAAAGACAACAATTAATTCAATGCATACAAAACGAGCAGGTCTTAATTCAGGGATGGAAGATAGTGACAAAAGACATCCTTGGGATTAACTGGAAAAATTTGAGCATGTACCACATATAAGATTATGGAATTGTTAATCTTCATAGATATAATATTTTTGTTCATTCTTTTTCCTTAAGAGACGTAAATTGAGGAAAGTGTTAACAAATGTTGAATCCAAGTAGTATATGTAGTATTTATAAGTGTTCACTGTAAACAAATGTTGAATCTAAGTAGTATATGTAGTATTTATAAGTGTTCACTGTAACTACTATTTCAACATTTTTGTAGATTTGGGTTTTTCCCCAAACTCTTTCTTTTTCCTTTTTTGTTAAGCAGAGAGCGGCCCTCTTTCGCCCCAGTAGTGTGTTTTCTCTTAAAAGTCTAACTTATCTATTAATATATCCTACCAGCATTTTACCACTATTTGCCTGGTATACCCTTTCTCATCCTTTTCCTTTCAACCACTGTGTGTCTCCTATAAATTACTCTTCTGTTAGCTTGTTTTTACACATACATGGCTGTGTTTTAACAAGATAATTCAGTTCATTTACATTTTTGTAGCTGAATTTCTATCATTTCATTATGTCTTTTCTACTTAGCACTGCTTTTTAATGCTTTTCTGGTGTCTATGGAAATGACTG